TATCTTTTTGATTAGAGTTTTCTCTGGATATAAGCCCAGGAGTGGGATTGCTGGATCATACAGTAAGTCTATTTTTAGTTTTCTGAGGAATCTTCCTACCATTTTCCATAATGGCTGCACCAAACTACATTCCAAGTGGGTAAAATTTTTGATAATGATTCCTCCAGAGAGTTTAGTTAATGTTACCGGCTTCCATTTATTATGATCACACAAAATTGTTTTTTGGATAATGTTAAGCTCACACTGTAGTGGGAATTTCTTGAGAACTATGGCAAGAGAATAGAATAAAGAGAGTAATAGAGAAGAGTTCAAAGAGTTCGTAGTTAATAGTTTAGAGTTAAAAATAGTTAAGGGTCCCACCCTTTTCTTGAAACAAAGAATCATTAAATGAATGATGAGAAGTAAGGGGATTTCAGGTCTATGCTAAAATGTTTGTTCAAGGAATTTGTTCCTGGGCCCTCTCTAAAGGAATTTAGGATCAGTCACCAAATAAGAATTGATTCAGGCAATCTTCCTCTGTTGCCTGGTGTTGCTGGGTGTTGTGGGGGACCGCAAATAAGTGTAAGATGGGGATGCTATCCTCAGGCTATGCTGAGTCCAGCTGCAGAGATAAGACTGAAGTCTGTGAGACAGTGAGCCCAACAAGGCAAGCTAGACCCAGTGGTAAACCAATACGATTTCACCCACTGAGGCTCCTGAGGATAAGGGAATATCTAGGAGGACTGCCTGGAGGAAGGAGGCAAGTCCAGTAGGGGATTGAGAGACTGGCCAGGGGGGCAGCTTCCCCAGCTGAGTCCTAGCAACACCGAAACACCACAGGACTTCATCAAAGATCTGCTTCCTGTTAACTCGGGTTTCCACCTGTAGATCCTCCCATAGCTGGTGGAAACGAAACCAGGGTCCCTTTTGCCCTAATACCGTTAAGTAGATAACAACTTAAGTAGGAAGAAAAACTTCTGTGTAGCACTGGCCCACCTCCATGGGGTATTTTTGTGATGTGCATTGCAAGATGCTGTGTCTCCAGGTCCATCCAGCCCTGAGACGGGCCCCTCACAGCTTCTAGGGTGGGTGTTACCGGGAAGCCCAGATTCTGAAACCAAATAATTTCAGAGCACAGGACTCTTTACCAAGAATGTATCTGCAAGCCTTTAAAAGTTCTCCTAAAAAGCTGTTTGGTTGCAAAAGAAAACTTCAGAGAGAATAAAGACTACATCCACATGAGAACAGGTGATGACTGTATTTAGAACAAGATTTATCTCCCCACAAGTCACCTCTGCTGTTGTGACTGAATAAGTGATGCTCTCCAGTTTGAGAGGGGGAAAAACCAAAAGAAGAAAGACAATTCCAAATAACTGGAGTTCTATTTGGTGCATGTAATACATCTCCATTTTGAACATAAAGAAAGAGGTTTACAATTTTTACTAATGGAAAAATGCTTTCTTCCCATCCTTAACAAGTTAACATTAAACTAACATTGGAAGATTATTAATTCAAAGGATGCCAGATTTTTAACCTACCCTGGGTGCCTGAGCGTTCCCGATCTGTCCTGCAGGCAGGATGATTTCTGCCAGGCTGAACAGTTGGTGAGATAAGACTAATAATACATATGGAATAATTTTAGAACCGCCCAGAGGTCATGATTAGTGTCTGCGGGTGGATGTTGATGGAAGAGCCCAGAGAGACAGCAGCCTGGTGTCTCTGTCTTATGACTTTCCCTGGCCACTCCCTCCTTCACCAGTTCTATTCCATCCTGCAAATAAATATCTCTCTGGGTGCAGTCTTGAGCGGGGCTGACCCCACTGGGTCCAGCAAATTTAGCGGGTCCCCAAGAACAGTGCTAGATGCCACACCACCACCTAGTGGCCTCTTGTCATAGGTCTCTGGGGCTTTCTCACTATAGAGAGTGACTTTCCCAGGGACTACAGTGACCTGATAATTTATCATCCATACGAGCGCTTTTGTCCAGCTGGGACACCAGGACAATATGTACAAACAAATCTGTGCCAAGGACATATGGTCACTCTATCTTAGTGCCTGCTGGGTACTCAGTGTGCATTTCGCAATGTGCTGTCACATGACAGAGGTGGGTACGAGGAAGTGATGCTCTCCTGAATGTCTGTTAATAGATCCGTAGTCCTCTTTCTCCTCCAGGGTGAGACATCTGGCTCATGCTATTTCACAGTCTTAGATCCTCTGAAATCAGTGAACCACTATTTACTAAAAGGAGGTCTTGGGTTTTCTAGAACCTTCTAAATACATAAACACATATGTAATGCATGTATTAACATGTAAAGTCCTTATCACACCCCTGTGAGGTGGGAACTATCATTATCCCATGTTATAGATGTGGAGATGTTTCCAGGGAAATTGAGGCATGTCAGCCAAGAGGGAACATGTGCTTCCAAGAAGATTTCTAAGGCTATCCTTACTCCTGGGCACATGTATGGTTTCACATGTTTCTTATGAGGGGGAGGTAATTATGTTTCTTCATTGCTTTCCACTTGGAGGAGGTACTGGGGATTGAACCCCTGACCTCTTGGGTGCTGAGCATGCGCTCTACCACTTGAACTATACCCTAGCCCCCGATTTCACATGTTTCCAACGGCTTGAGAGTTTAGCCTTTATTTTGCTTTAAAGGCTCTTATCAATGGTCTAACTTTGAAGGTAGCTTGAAGACTCTCCCTGAGCCCCCCAGATTTGGAAAATTGGTAAAGATGCTGGTGAATGAATCTTCTGAGGAAGGGCTTCCTGCTGCCCCGTCTCCACCCACTACCCATTTGCAAGTCTTTCCGTCCTTTGGTGTGGGCGGAAGGAGACAGTTCTGTAAGTGTATTTGCGTTCAGGTTGCTTTCCACCCACACGCTTGCCGTCCTGGGACGTTTTTCTCCCTGAGAGTTGCCTGGGTTCCCTGGGTAGGGATGGGGTGGATATATCATAATTATCCTACTCGGGTTCGTGAAAATATTTTTATTTAGTGCTTCTCACTTAGCAGCGGGGCCTTCGGGAACAAATCTGAGTCATTAAGTGAGGAGAGGCGGGTACTCCTGCCTGCTGGTCTGTCTCACCATCGCATGTGGGCCTGACATACTCAGGGTCCCCAGACACGAGCACACAGACAAGATATACAACTTCAGTCACTAGATCCAGACAGATGTGACCCAAGCTGAATGTCAACCATTTATTGATAACAAAGCAACAATGCTGGGCAAGTTTCCTAGACACCGAGACCAAGCCCCTGTCCCCATGCTGGGTGTGTGTGTGTGTGTGTGTGTTTGTGGTAGGGGGGTGGGATAGTGATCTACAGAGCTAAGTGTGACGAAGGGAGGGTGGATCCTGCAGAGACAGGAGTCTGGGAGGCAGCAGAGCCTTGGAGCAGCCAGAGCTGGGCAAGAGTCCTTAGACACCACGTTGAGCTCAGCTCTCAGGACCAGCAGGGGCCCTGGGCTCAGGCGGTGGCCGGGGGCTGCTGCAGCTGCAGTGGGCTTTCAGGATGGGCGGCTGTAGTCATGGGTGCGTCCTCAGCTGGGTTCAGGTACTGGAGTCGGAGATGGAGGAAGAGACAGGCTACCTGCCTTCTGTTCTCCCAGAAGCCCAAGCAATCCCATGATCCTTTTGGACCTTCCATCCTGCTTCCCTGGGACCTGGGTCCCCCCCACTGCCCCACCTCAGCAGAGCAGGCAGTGGTGGCCTGATCCCCTGGGGCAGCATGCTCCCGCAACCATGGCATTCCCCGGGGAGAAGCTTGCCTAAGGATGATGCTTGGATTCTGGGCTGGCTGTGACCTCAGCTGGGTCACCTTGATTCTCTGAGCCTCACTTCCCTCACCTGTGATGTGGGGGGAGGGGGGTCACAATAACTTCCTTACCCACCGCAGGCCTCTGGCCAAGGCGAGCTGTTGTAATGATCCTCTACAGCACACGCTAGGCTGCAGGCTTCAGCTGGGACCCAGGGGTGTCACTTCTGCTCTTCTCTCTGTGGCATCTGTGGCCTCCACCTGAGTCTGGCCTCACCAACATGGGCACCAGGCTTTAGGCTTTTGTCATCATCTTCTTCCCAAACCCCTTCCCCTGTTCTCACGGGGTCTTCAGTGCAAGCAGCAGCCCCCAGTGTAGATCCAATGGGGCTCACCATGGCCACTGCACACTGGGTGCGGGAGGACAGGCTCCTGTCCCCTGCCCCCCCCCCCCGCTCTGCTGTCTCTCCTCCCTTTGCCGACCCCATCCAGGACCTGGGGACAGAGCGAGGGTGCACCTGTCCTGTTCCGCTGGGACTTCACTGACCCACTCACCAGCCAGGTGTAGCAGAAGGTGGCCTGGGAGCCCAGGAGGTGCACAAGGAAGCAATGCCCAGCTCCAGGGTGGAGGAGAGCAGCAGCAGCGCCGAGAGACTCTTCTGGGGCACCTGGAAAGCCAGCGGTGGGGAGCCCAGTCTGCACCCCTGCTCAGTGTGGGAGGGACCACCCGGGGCCTGGGAACCAGTCAGCAGTTTTGACCAGGAAAGCAGGCATCACACACCACGTGCTGGGCTGAAAACTGGTACCCAGATGGATAAGGGAAGAGGAGATTTCAAGGAAAGGGTGTCATCAGTCATCCCCTGTGCACCTGCTATGGGCTCATTTAAATCCCAATCATTAGGTACCTACTCCTCTGAACCCATTTCACAGAGGATGAAACTGAGGTTCAGAAGAATTAAGGGAGTTGTCCAAAGCCACACAACTTGGGAAGATGAATCTAGGGTTCAGACACAGCTGTCCTGGTCCAAATCCCATGTGGTCAGCCACTCAGCCAGCCTGACTCCCCACAGCAACCAGTTCAGAAAGATCGAGTAAGAAAATTCATGGAAGAATGTCTAGTGCATTCAGCAGTAGGTCATGGTGGGCCCCGTGGGAGAGCTGGGCTGTGGCTGGGGATGGAGAGGTGGAGACGGGAAGAGAGTCCTGGCTGTGAGAGGGGAGAGAGAGAGGACCACAGTCAGAGAAAGCTGCAAGGTCGGTCTCACACTTGAACCTATGGAGCCCGAGGGGAGGGACGGAGAAGAGAGCCTGGGAGGGTGGGAACAGTGACGAGGCTCACGGGGAGCCAGGAGGTGCACCTTGTCCACTACTGGTGAGGAAACACGGGTGTGGCTGTGATGATTCAGCGATGTTTGAGATCACGGGCAGGAATGCGAGTCTCGGGGTTGTCTAAGGACCCCAGGCTATGGGGGAAGGTCTGGGGTCATAGGCAGTGGGACTGCTGAGGGTTCAGGGCAGGGCAGCCATGGACAGTGTGTTTCCCACTCCTGTACCTGCCTGGGGTTCCAGACCTACTGTAAAGAGCAGGTCGGCCCCCAGCCCAGTCCTTCCCCAGGACTAAGCAGATGGACCTCCTCCCCACAGCGTTCCCACTCCTAGTCTTGCCATGTCGGGGGGCCACGGTAGTGACCCCATGATGTACAGATAGTAGTTGACGTCCCATGGATCTGACCTGGACCCCAGTCAGGAAAGATGAGGCTCACGATGAAGCCCAGTGACCGTTGTCTTCAGAGTCTTCCGGACTTGCCCTGTGTCCTGGGGTCGGGGCAAGGGGCGGGAGCTTCTCACTTCATGCAAGCGTTCTTTGTACTCTTCAAGGCAGGGTAAGAGCCTGAGCAGACAGACCTGGGGTCGAGTTCTGGCTGAAGGATTCTGTGACCTTGAGCAATTGATAAAGCAATTCAATCTTATTCCCCAGCTCCCGCTTTGGTAAATGGGGGAGAAGACGGCATCTCTGGGAGTTGTTTCCGGGATTAAATGGTGCATAGATGGGCAGGTGCTGGTTCTCCGGCCCCTTTAACTTCTCTGCCTTTTGGGCAGCACTCACCTGGGCATACCCACTGCTGGCAGCCAGCTCCATCAGCAGGACGCACATCCCGAGGCCGCCACACAGCGAGCTGACCAGGCTCATCTGCCAAGGGGACCAGAGCACCCACCACTACCCAGCCAGCAGGGGAGGGTGCTGGCCACACGTGTCACGAGTCACGGGTATCCTGCACAGGTTTCTGACCCGGGAAGAACCACAGACCTGCTCTGGAGGTGAGAAAGACAAGTCTGCTCCGGCTGCCGGATCCCATGGGCCATGGATGCTAAGGGCGGCTGTTCGTCCAGGTAAACCAGGTCGGCCTAAACAGCCAGCAGATGGCCCCGAGGCCAGGGTACAGGTGTACCTGGGGTCACTTCATCACCCTGTGCCCACACAGACCCACGAGTCAGTCCTCACAACCCACCAGAGCTGGCATCAGTGTAAGAGCTGTTTGCCATCTGTCGTAGGTTGAGTTGTGTTTTCCCCAAAGACATGCTGAAGTCCTAACCCCTGGTACCTGTGAATAGGACCTATTTGGAAGTCAGGTCTTTGCAGATGTAATCAGGTTAAGATGAGGTCCCAGTGGATGGGGGGGGTGGTCCTTAATCTAGTAGGACTAGTGTCCGCATCAGAAAGGAAGAGACACAGGGAAAGCCCCATGTGGTCATCAGTGTGGAGGTGGGAGTGGCGTGGCTATGAGCTGGCAGCCACAGGGCGCTTGGAAGAGGCAAGGACGGATTCTTTCCCCAAGGATTCTTGGACCCAGAGGGAAGCTGTCCCCTGACTCCAGAGTGGCCTCACCCTGGGTTCAATCAGATGCCCTCCGAGACATGGTGGCTGCCCCAGCCTTTTTTGTTATTTTTCTGAGCTGGGGGCCACGTGGGGAACACCCTGTGGATCTGTCTTGCCTCCCTGCTGCTCTAACTTTCCAGCTGGAACATATCCTTGGCCCTATAAATCCTGGCGACTCCGTGGCTGCTGGACTTGGTGGTGGCTGTTTCATGTCTACCTGGGAAAGACGAGGGTCTGTGGGGATGGAGCGGTCCACTCACTCCTAAGGTGGTTGGATGTCTCTGGAAGAATAGCTCCTTCCTGCTGGGGTGGGCGTGCTCCAGGGTCTCGGGCTGTGGGAATGGCTCCTCTGGGCTTGGCCAGGGCACCCCCGGGGTTTCGGGGGGAGGCACCATCACTGGCTGCTGTTCCTGGATTAGCATCACTGATGAGCAGGCTTCCGAGGGTAGCTGGGCTGTGGGCTGGGCTGCCTCAGGCTTGCTGGAGGGAGTCAGAGCCAGGGTCTCGGCTTCTGCCGTCTCAGACACCCTCTCTGCGGAATGCCTGAGGCACACATGTACGGGATCCAAGAATGAAGAGGAGCATTCCCAGGCAGATCCCCACTTCCTGGGTCTCAGTTTCCCCATCTGAAAGGTAAGGCTTCATTACTAGGAGAGCTGGTTGGTTAAACATGGCGTGTGTGCTTGCACAATTTCTAACAGTTAAAAGCAAAGGACAGGAGGTTCACAGAGAGTCACACCAAAGAATCTTAAGTACAGGGCTGAGTGGAAAAAAAAATAGCCAGAAACAGGATGAGACGTCACAATACCATGTATATAAATTAAATACTTGCTCAAGAAACAATTCACAAACAAAACACACTAAGTCACACTGAAGTTGCTGCCTGGGGCTGGGTAGGAGAGCCGGTTAAAGGAAATGAATGGAACAGAGGCAGGAAAGAGGTTTGGATTGGGGGACAACTGCCCCTAGGCTCATGCTTACAACAAGTGTTTATCATTTGATAGGCCCCATTTCACCCACAGGAAAACTGAGGACCAGAGAGGTTAAGTAACTTGCCTGGATCACACAGTGCAGCGGGGACTTCAACCCAGGACAGCTGGCTACAAACTTGGATTTTCCTACTTTAGGACACCTCTTCCAGTCTCTCCTTTCATCATCCTGCTCTGCCAGGCTACTTAATAACACCAACCCTGCAGGCTACACCTGTCTATACAGCCTGTTACCACTTACCTAGTGTCCTCAGGTACATCCTTGCTTAATTACGAAATATCCCTTGAGGTGGTTAGGGCCTGGAGCATCCGCCTCTAATTTATTCAGGTCAGACAGATATAAATCAGTGGGTCTACATTTGAACCCACACCTTCTGACCCTCATATCCAGCGTTCAGTTCACTACCTCATGCTGCCTGAGCAACAGTGGGGGACATTAAAAAAAAATCCAACCAAACTCCAAACCTCAAATTACAAGGAACTCGAGAACAGAGAGCTGGGAGAACCCCGGGGTCTGAGGCCTGGGCTCTGAGCCTTCCTGGACTGCCTGCCCTCCACTGGGAAGCTGGGCACCTTCTCACCTCTGCCAGCATCGCTCCTCCTCCACCCAGCCTGCAGCCTCTCAATGCCCCCAGCACATCTCAGCGGTATCTGCAGTCTCAACCCGTGCCCTTGTCTCCTTTCCCCACCTGGTGAATTTCCCCCTTCTTGCTTGATCATAAGAATCAGCTGGGGGCTTGCTAAATACAACCCCTTGAGCCTCACTCCTGGTCTTCTGAATCAGACCCTCCCGAAAAGGGGCCTGGGAGTCTCTGCCTCGAAAGCACCCTCAGGTGATCCTTCTCACCAGGCTAGTTTGCAGAACGCCAGCCCATTCACTCCTCTGGTCCTTCAGCCCCTGCTCCGTTTTGGTGATGCGTATGAGGTCTCCTGGTTGTGAGCCCTCTGCACCAATGTCTCAACTCCTACATCTGAGCAGGTCAGTTGACCTCTCTCAGCCTGTTTCCTCCTCTCAAAAATGGGGGAAATATCTATCCCAGGGGATGCAACGTGCAAAGTGCCTGGCACAATTCCTGGCAAGTGGAGGGGACTGCATACATGTTAGCATCTTCTTTCCTGCCAGCTGTGCAAGCCAGTTGCAGGAACCATGGACAAGGCCCTCCTGAGGCTTGAAACTGTACTCACCCCTTGGGTCCTGTAGCCCTGTTTCAAATGGTCTCTGTTCCCAGATGCCCACCTTTCCTCTGCAGAGATGTCAGTGTCCTCTATAAAAGCCTGTGAGTTTCTTTATGTAAATGGGTGTCTGCCCATCACTTGCCAGCCTTGTGTCTACCCAGGGCTACACCTGGACCTAGGCAGGTGATGGTCAGGGAAGCATCCCAACTCCTCTGCGAGCTGAAGGCATCCCCCAGGTTCACCGTCTCTCCAAGCCCATTGCAAACACCCTTCAAAGGTCGGCCCTGTTTCCACTTCCCTCATGTGTGCTGCCACCTCAACTTGGAAGATTCTGGAAGGGGTAGTTCCCTAAAATTTCCCCACCACCTCTGTGAGCCATGTAGGAGGGCACAGGAACCATCAGGACAGCTGGCAGGTGGTGCTATTGTCAGCATGGAGGCCAAGTGTGAGAGCTAGCAGAAGGGACTGGAACATCTCACAAGTTCAGTCGGAGCTGGCCCGAGATAGTAGGAGGAGCACTGTTGGGAGAGGGAGGAGACCTGGCTTCCTCTACTAAAGGCAGTGACTTGCTGTGTGACTTTGGCAAGACCTTTCCCTTTTGGACCTCAGTTTCCACATCTGTAAAATGGAGACACTGGACCGGATCATGAGCCCCCAAGGCTACTTCCAATTGTAACATTTTTAGTCTTATGGTTGGGATCAGGGATACATTTCTGTTGTAATGATTTGTTATTGACACGGAAAAAGAATGTATCCATTGTCCAAGTGCGTGTGACTTCCATGCCTCATATTTCTGAGGTCCTGCCTAGACTTGGCCAATATTTCCATGGGATCCAAGTGTCATAAACTGAATGTCCCTCCCAAGTTCATATGCTGAGTCCTAACCCCTAGTGTGATGGTTTTAGGAGGCAGGACCTTTGGGAGGTGCTTGGATCATGAAGGCAGAGCCCTCATGAATGGGGTTATTACCCTTATGAAAGAGACCCCAGGGAGCTCCCTGCTTCTGCTGCCATGTGAGGACACAGGGAGAAGACAGTCATAGACCAGGAGGAGGGCCCGTCCAGACACTGAAATTTCCACTGCCTTGATCTTGAATGTCTTAGCCTCTGGAACTGTAAGAAATAGATGTTTGTAGTTTGAGCCACTCAGTCTATGGTGTTTTTGTTACAGCAGCCAGAACTAAGACACAGTTCTCAGCGAGACTCAAGGTCTCTCTTGAGTTAACCAGTGATTGTTCTGTATAAGAGCTGCACTGGGATTCCAATAAATATGCTCCCTTATGACCAGCAGTTTCACCTTTCTGCTGCTCAGCCTTCTCATCTGTATCATGAGTGGCATCCTCATGCCTGGCCCACTGCGGGTGCTGAATCAGTTCCTGCTGTCTCCCCTCTGCCCATCCAAGCTGCGGAGATGGGTCCAAGCCAGACCCCTGCCACATGGCTGCTCCTCAGACACACGCCGAGAGGAAGACAAAATCAGCAAATGTCACTTTGATTTCAATATATTTATCAAGGGCCAGGAGTACAAAGCTAGAGAAAAGCCCATTAGTCTTGCAGTCTAGCAGAGTTAACACGTAAGTGACAGAAAGTGACTAGATTCAGTTTAAAAAGGAAGAGATTGGCCAACCACAGGCATCTTCGTAGAAAAGGATTAGCCCTAAAAGGTGATCAGTAAATGGGATGGAGCCTTCAGGAGGGCCTCAGGGCAGGACAAGCCACCATGTGAGTGGATGTGTCCATGGCGGGGAAATGGACAAAGGTGAAGTATTCAGGGGACCCAAAGGGATGCAGACAAAGGTTCACAAAGAATAAGGAATTACTGGGATTCCCTTCCTGTGGCATCTCAGGAAGGAACACAGAGCAATAAGCCCCAGTGTCTGGTTCCCAAGAGCCTGTTGGATAAACAGTCATGGGTCTGAAGTCCAAGTCCTGGCTCTGCCACTAACATTCTGTGTGAGGCTGGGCCAGCTACTCCCTTCCCAGTAAGGTCAGAGTGGTGGGCTAGACTGACTGGTACCGTCAGGGGTTATGGCTGTGTGACGCTGTGACCTCTCTGGTCATTAGCGTGAAGTTGGAGAGTTCCTCATTTTATACATTTGAGACTGTCCTTCTTTTCTAGTATAAACACCTTGGGCTGTGCATTTCCTTC